TTAAGCTAATAATAAGAGATTTCTTTATAATATACCTCTGCCATAACCTTGACTATGTTTTGCAAAGCTATTAACAACTGCATCTACAGCCTCTCTTAAAACTTGCTTGGCACGGGCATCTACCAGTCCACCTGTGACCCCCATATTTTCAGTAACACGTGATTTTGTCTTAACTGGCATCATGCCCTGCATTACTCAAAAACTTGCATTTATTTACTCTGCAAAAATATAGCATCTTTAGTGTTATTTCTAATATCCAAATCACAATAGCAAACATAATAAAGTGCCTTTAGAATTTTTGATATTTCATAGAATATTACTCAGTGTTGCGTGCACAAGAGTGTAGAAATTATTTCAAGATTTCTAATAAATGGAGCATGTGTTAATCAAGCTACGAATTCGTAATTAACGGAAATAAGATTTTGTTCTTTTATGAATTCACCGACACCGTTCACTCGTTGACATTCGCACTCATCGCACTCACGATCGAGATTAGGTCAGCATTCATATCACGATATTCACGAATTAACGATCGCGATGACGATCATGACCACACGTTGACGCAATACGTCTCGTTTACTCTGATTTACTCACCGAAGACTCAGCAAGATGCTGTGTGCGCGCACACCGTGAATACCGTCTTCCTGATGACCGTCGATCGTCGACCGTCGGCTCGACGAGTCAGACGAGTATGTGTCGGATGCTGCGCGACAACGGGAGTAGAGAGACAACGGTGGCATCGGGCGTGGGAAGGAACCCAGGAGGTCTGGACCGTCGTACCGAACAGAGACGTCAGAGACCCTGATGCCCAGGAATTCGTGTAAATTACTCTCCAATCCGATCAGGGCACTGCACCGTCCATCGAACCTGACCGAACTGAGCTGAGTTGGCTGAGCAGTGAGCGCCGCAGGATCAAATTGCAAGACACTCATATAACGCGTTTAATGGCCCCGGACTCCAGACCGCTGACGATTTCCAGAAAACCAGGGCCGTGCAACTCGCATAACCGCCTCGCGCTACCCGAGCTTCATCCATTCCCCAAATTTCCTTCTTTGTTAGTCAGTTCCTTCTTTGATTGTCAATTTCATCTAGTTTTCCTTTGTCGTAAACTCAAGATTTGCTAACTGCGTTATATTTTTCTTTATTTTTTTTTTTTACAATTCAATCGCATCGCATGAATTCAATCGCATCGCGTCAAGAATTTCTTTCGTTATCAAATAAAATTTTTACCTTATACGCGATTTTCATAGACGAGTCATTATAGAAAAAGTGTTTGTAAAAAATTTTTTTTTTATTATTTACTTATTATTAGGAAATATAAAGATTATGAGAAAATGACATGCAATCTCAAAGACAGTAACATGACATGTATCTTTACTGCTTTAAATTAAATGTTTTAAATTAAATGTTATAAGAAGAAGAAGAAGAAGAAGAAGAAGAAGAAGAAGATATTCTCTTGGAAGTAAAATTGCGAAAAATCATGTCAATTCTATCTTGTTCCGTTCCTCTCATTATCGGTTTCTCCGCTATTCTCCGTGTAATACATATATAGATGCGTACATATATAGATTATATGCACACTAATGTAAGACTGTGACTTGCATGTGTACGTTCCAAGCGCATTATCGGAGCAACTTGGAGCAACTTAAACAACTTGAAATCTAGATGACTAGATTTCTCGCGAGACGATTCAATCACAAGTGCGCCGTATCGCGATCGCTTTTTGAAAATCTAAAGCACCTGTAGGTAAAACAGCAGACATCGTAGCGCGCTAAATTCAAAAGTATCTTGTCTTAAGGATTAATAAATAATTTAAGACGTTAAGGAATAATAGATAATAAATTTACTGACGCATCTTGACGAATTATAATAAATGATAAGGAAAAAGTGTTACTTTCGCGAATAAATTATAACTTTGTTTATAACACGATATATTTCTCCTTATAAATATTTCTTTCAATTTATACATCTGTGTCAATCTACGAAAGACAAGATAACTTCTGAATGCGCGCGCGCGCGCGCACGCACGCACGCACACACACACACACACACACACACACACACAGTATTGTGTTTCTCTTATTAGTATATAGTTATTAAAATAAAAAGTGTTGAAGTTTGAATCTTGAAATCATGATACAACAATACAATATACGTATACACATACTGAAATCAAAATATATAATTAACATTCTGCAAAACGCAATCCGACACGTAATTTTACCGTCAATATCATAACATTGTACATAAACGTGTTATTATTACATTTATATTACTAAGTGGAAAATTATAATATTGACGTAATGTTATTATTCGTTTTGTATTCTGTGTATTTAATTTTATCTGCTTTTGAAATATCTCACTACTTTATAGACATTCAATTATTGCGCATCTATTTAAGAAGAAAGATATCTTCAATTTTCTTCATTTTTGATTGCATAACATGTGAGGTATATATTATCAATGTCGTAGGCGCGTGATAATTTGATTAATATGTATGGAAAAAGAGTGAAAACCATCTCGATATTCTCGAAATGCAGTAATAATGGAATATCATGCAGGCAGGTAATGGCACTAATGGCGCGTTGGATACGTGGCAAGAACACACAAGTTTCTCGTTTGATCTGCCTACGGCGTACGGAAGTAGGAAAAGCCCGCGCCGTATCGCGCCGCGCCGGCCGCGCCGATTTATGTATGGCGATTTACGCGCGCACATTTCCCGCGGTGGCCGCGATGCAATCGTCGTGTGTTGCTCTGCACACCACTGCACACTTGCACTGACTTGCACGCGAGTAGGTGTGCGTACGGCGGATCAGCTGAGCGCCAGCTGTGCCGCGCGCTTCGACCAATCGGTGACGAGGATAGCAGCGCGGCGTGGCGCCCGTCGAGCGCTTCGGCCGTCGGCGTTCCCGCGAAACGCCAATTTGCAGGCGCCAGTTCGCTCCGTTCCGCGTCACGGCAGAAACGTGTTCGCGTTCGCGTCTTCCGTCATCTGCCGCGAGCGAACAACCATAATAAGTTAATCCGCACGCGAGGGTGTTCACGTTTGTTCTGTTCCGACAGCGAAACCAGTGCAAATCAGGGTGATATCCGCATGACGAGAGAGCGGCAACCAGCCGAGGAGACGCGTAGCTGTGACGGACCTTCGCTTAATGCGTATACGGGACTTCGTTTACGGTTCATGAAACTCTCTAAATTTGCGTTCTATCCTTAGGAGCCTGCGTCAATTGACGTCAATCGCTGCACTAAGCCTATAAGCGACGATCATTTAGCGGCCTGATTTAGCCCAAGTTGGCTGAACGCAGCTATACCTTGGCGGAAGGACGCTCATCGTGGAGTCGCCTTTCGGTCGACAGATAAATCAAAATTGACGCGCGAAAGGGAGAAAGATTCAGTCGAGGTATCGTCGTGACGACGTCGTGCGTGAAATTTACCACCAATATTTCCAAAATTTGCCCCTTTGAGGTTATGTGGCGCATATAGAGGGCGTTACGGGGCGTACAGGGGTTGGTCCGGTTGGTCGTCGTTTCGCGCGCTGCTCTCCCGCGCTTCCAGATCCACGTCCTCTATTTTTCTCGGAATATCGTCGATTTGCGACTCGCACACGCTGCAAAATAGCTCAGAGGCGAGATTAATGAATTTTTCGACTACCGAAATCGATTCCGAACGAAAATCATAAGTCGATACGGTGAATCAAAGACGGCCAAGAGAACGTGCATTATGGCGATCGGGTGCGTGTAGACTTCGCGCGCTCCTCCACTTTTCGTCATTTTCCTAAGGAAATTGTTGCGCCTGGATTGAAAAAATTCATCGCACCCTCGTTCCAAGAGTCTCCGTTATCGTATACACTTGGAAAAAATTTTTTCCGACTACAAATATTTTCCTTACGCGTTGGCAATCCGGCGGGAAAATGCCACAGAGCAGGTGAGTGATCGATATTCCATTTCATGTTAAAATTCAGATATATCTTTCTTTTGTGGTCTCCAAATCATTTTGTTTACAATGAAACTGATTCAGTGCCTATCCATTGCTTGATTAAAAATACATTTTTTCTGTCCATACTTGAACTTCATGCCTATAACCTTTTTCCTTTAGTTACTTTCTATCCTGAGATTTTAGCAGCTTTCCTTCAGCGATGTAATAATTTGTTATCTTTCAGCCATTTAGATAGCGTTATTTGCATTGTAAATCTGCAAATTAACACTATATTAGCTCCATAAATTATTTGACAACTGTTCAACTTTTTGTATATCACAAAAAATAATAATATCTTGAAAGATTTATTTACATCGTCTGTTTTATATAAATTGAATTAATAGAGGTAGATATGAAAAGATGATATGAAAGAACGTTGCATAGAGAGAACTGAATCTTTCCTCTGTATTTAGTTTGCAGGAAAAGAAGGCACAAACTTATTTGCAAGGAGGCAAAGCCCAGTCTTTGAAACGCAAGAGACGTACTACAGAACTCTCAGAAGATTCAGAAAACATATACCCACCTAGTAAAGTACCTACGTTGTCTCATGTCTCGTATACGGAATCTTGTAATACCACACCATCAGTAGATGCTGCATGCACTCCCCAACATCAGACCTCTCCGTTGAAAGAACAGCAAGAGCCTGCTACATGGTCTGAATTAAGAAGTGCAACTTGTTTCTTAACACCTTCAGCCTCCAATAGCACATCCATTAGACCTAGTCCATTGCCGTCTCTACCATGGGCCGATGGCTCCCAAGTATGGTCTCTCATGTGCCTTGGGGATCAGAAAACTCTAATTCAAAGGGATCCAGAAATGTTCCAGAGGCATCCAACATTACAGCCACGGATGAGAGCCATCTTATTAGATTGGTTGATTGAGGTCTGTGAGGTGTATAAATTACATAGAGAGACTTATTATCTCGCTATGGACTATATAGACAGATATTTGTCTATTCATCACGATGTACCTAAAAACCAGTTGCAACTTATAGGGATAACTTGTCTTTTTATTGCTTCTAAGGTTCGTAAATTTTGTTACTTTTTTTTTTATTTACAATTTATGTACATATTTATGATAGTTGAGAAAAAGGAGTAAATAAAATTTTATTTTTACTTATTTATTTTTGCAATCTCAAAATATCAATGTAACACAAGGTAAATTAAAAATTAAAAAATGAAAAATAATTTTGCAGGTTGAAGAAATATATCCACCTAAAATCGCGGAATTTGCATATGTCACCGATGGAGCCTGCACAGAAGAAGAAATTTTGGGAAAAGAGTTAATGATCTTGAAAGGACTTGGATGGAATCTGTCCCCAATAACTGCTCCAGGATGGCTCAATATTTACATGCAGATTGAATCAGGCGACTCATCCAAACCAAACACTTTTATATATCCACAATATGGTGGATTGCAATATTCTCAAGCAGCTCAATTATTAGATCTGGCGACTTTGGACGAAGGTTGTTTAAAGTTTCCATACAGTCACATAGCTGCAGCAGCAATTTATCATACTCAAGGAAGAGAATGCGCATTGAGAGTGTCCCGATTGTCATGGGAACAGCTTGCTCCTTGCGTCAAATGGCTTACGGCATTTGCTACTACCGTCGCGGAAGAGGATTCCCAGTCTCTTTTAAGATCTACGATTACGCTTGTAGAATCACACTCTGGATCCGGACTGAAGGCCACTGTACCTAATATTGTTGTAGACGAATCGCATCGCATACAGACTCACGTAGTCGATTTGAATATGTTGGAAAAGGCGCAGCAACGATTAGCTGGAGAAATCCCGAGTGGCTATGTGAACGATTCGGATACAAATGTTGAACCTGGTAGACAAAGCCCAAACGAGAGTGGCCTTTTAACTCCGCCGTCTAGTAATCAAAAAAGTTCTCCGTTATCAACATGCCCTACACCACAATTACATCCTTATACATAACTAAATATTTACAATCTCTTCGCATATACATTATATATGATAAATTGTTATACGTATTTATCATATAGTCGTGAATTACAGTACGATAATTCAGATAGAAACATGAGTTATTTTGAAAAAAGTAGCGTGCAGATTTGGGGAAATGCTGATTATTGACACGTTATTGTAAATAATACGATGCTTCCTAATCGCATCCATGGTACTGAACGATTGCACTTTCGAAATAGCAATAAGACTCGGTACAAGATATCAAGCATTTTACAAATGATCATATATAAAATAGCACAATTAATTCAACATCACTTATTTTATTACAGATATTTGAAAAAGCGTGCTTTATGGCTTCGCATTGTTTATAAATGCAAAGTGCTCTCAAAGCACATTTACCAATTCATTTTAAAATAAATAGCAGCCATATGTGGCCTGCTTTCTGTGATTGTGCTCAATACAATAAAATTTTAGTCTTACATTAATGAATTAGATTCTTCTTGTCTTTGCTATTTTATAAACTTTATGAATGTAAGAAGAGAAATACTAATGCCTACAACAAGTGTCCTTAAATAATGTTTACCTGTTTTTCGAAAGAGAGCATTGTGAATAGTATTCTTTTATATAACTCGCTTTATTGTAATACAATGTATTACGGCGGTGCGTTACCTGGCCGGATGAATGTGTTTTTTATTATGTATATTATGAAAGTCTATTAAAAACAATATCTTTATATATCTTTAAATTGAGAATGAATGGTGAGGGATGAGTGCAAGGATTAAGTATGACGATTAATTAAAATAAAAAAAAAAAAGACTAATAACCTTTAATGAGTAAGCATTAAAATTTTGTGGTGAATTTGCACTGCCTGGCATGTAATAACGTGGCGGTTTATACATATTTGTATGATGAGTTTGACAATAAATGTTTTGCAAACTTACATTATTGTAAAAAAATTTGTTTCCATTCAAATGATTTCAGTCATTTAATAACAAAATGAATTCATCGTGGCGATATAATTGTATGAGAAAACACTAAGTGGCATTTCGCAAAGGATCACGGATTCACAGTGGATAAAACAATCTTCGATTCGAATGATCATCTACCTTTCTGTATATTCCTTAATTTAAATAATAAATTTAGATGTCAAAGTCACGAGTCGAAGAGAGAGTTCAGTTAAGCACGACTAATGTCCATTTTTAGCAATGTAGTTTTAGTAATTAATTTTAATCTTGATTCAATTTACTCTTTATTCTTGATTTTTAACTTTTAGAATCGGAAAAAGATAAAAAGTGAGTTAAATTGAGATTAAAATTAATCTACAAGTGGAAATGAACATGACAGCGCTATTGATCGATATCGGTACGCGGCGCAACAGATGCGACTGGCGGGAACGGATCCGCAGATTTTTGATTTCAAATTCAACTTGAACGATAATCGATTAGTATCGCGGATCGTTCGATCACGTTCGATAATACTACTTTACCGATTGCGACGGAAATTCGAAACTGTTACAAGTGGCGCCGCGGTGTGTCGGCTAGTTAAACGCAACGGTGCATTCTGATTCGTCAGTGCATTCACATTCAAGTTTATCAAACGGCAGCCGTTAGTCAAAGGATCGTGAAATGCGCAACGAATTCGCTCGCTTGCTCCAACTTGCTCGCGTCGCAGACTTGTGCAGACTTGTAACTGGACGGAACTGGTTGACGTTGACGGTAGTGTGAAAGTTGAATGCGTACACTAGGAATCTACGTAGTCGAGGTGTTTGACGGATTCCGTATTACCGGTATTGCCATTGCCACATTCGCCACTATCGCTTGCTATCGCTTGCTATCATTTGTGCCGGTGACACCTCAAATGACAGAAGTACCAGTGTAAACACGCCTCTGCGTGTGAAGAGAACTTTCTTTGTTCTCCAAGTCAACAAGTCTAGAGTCTAGAGAGTGAAAGTACAAGAGCTTTGCCGACTTCGAATATTTCAATTTCCTGTAAGTAAAGTTAAATCTTCATTCTTTTTTTGATCTTTCGCGATGAACTGATTTTTCGAAAAAGTAGAGGAACGGAGATTCTTAATTCTGTTAACGAAATTTCCAAGTCTGGGTCTATACTGAGTCGGTGAATCGGAAACGAGTCTGAAAGATGGTCGATGGATTGGTCGAAATCGGTGAATCGGTAGAAAATTGATCAGCAGCTTGTAAGACTATCGACTCATTGTAGATCCAGCTTGTAAGACATTATCGTCTCATCGTATTCTCGAAATCATAGGGTGATGATTTAGACTCCGATTAACTTATATTCTCCGTTAATATTCATTTTCACTAATGTAGATTAACTTATTCTCGGTTCAACTTACTATTGATATTGGTAGAAATTAAAAATGGACACAAATCGACTGGTAGAATCGCTTATAACAAAATCTTTACACAATTTTCTCTTAACTTTTTCCGACATGTTAAATATAATTCTACTAATTAATTTAATAGATTTATTCATATATTACTCTTAAAGAAATAATGTTGATAAAGTTAATCGGAGATTGGTCAACATCGCAAATAATGATTTTTTTTCAAAAAGAATCAGATTTTTTTCATAAAAAAAATAGATATAATTACATTTTTTTAAGTAAATTTAGTAAAAATATATTACAATATACTGTCTTCGTCTATTTACTGTAGTACGAACACACACACACACACACACACACACACACAATAGAAGAAAAACATTTAAATTCTTGTTTAATTTCTGTATGTTTTTTCAAATGTATTTTTGATTTAAATAAAAGTAGTATCCACGATATTTCGCACTAGGAAATCAAGATAAATATTCGTTGTATTGAAGAAAGAGAGAGCCTGAGAATGTCGAGCCCAAGAGGATCTGTTCGCGAAGGCACAAGAATCGTACTGAAAGAAATAACCGCGACTCTCCACAATTCTTCGCCAATTCATCCTTCTCGACGAAAGGTACTGTCAAATATTTCATCATTTTTGCACTGTTTTTCTTTGTTTTTTTTTTTTTCTATGCTTAAGAAGAAAGAATTATTCCGACGATGAGAAAAACCTGATGGGAATATATGTACTTTCACGAAACGATACTTTTCTCACGTTTGTTTGCGTGAGATTAATAGTACGCTTTCAGGAAACGACGACCGATGCATTGCCCGCTCTTATCGTTCGCATGTTCTCTTTGTAAATCCTTCTTCGCGCTTCCTTCTCCATTTACGCGGCTGACAGTCAGACCGGAGAGAATGTATTTCTATAAATAAACTTCGTATCTCCAGAAGTACCTTGAAACAAAAATAAGTTTTGCTTCCCGCTACGCGGGAGCATTTCTTTGATACGCATGAAGAACGCGAATTTGTTCATTTCGATTCGAGTTTTAACGCTGAATCTTCCAATACATCCGATACAAAAAGACAACTGAAATGTCATACTTTGAAATCGAAATGGATTAAAAAATGGATTAAAAAATGGATTAATTGAGAATTAGGAGTTGTGGATGAAATATAAGCTTGTAATATAAGGCTTGAATATGAATATTCAATAATTTCTTCATCAAAAATATTTCACTCATTTCTTTTTAGAATTATTAAATTTTTCCATTTCCTCTGTACTAATTTTTTCATTTGATTTTCATGTTTCTCTACATCATGTGGTAAATGGAATTATTTACGGCGCAGGGCAATACTTTATCTCGTTGCCCCTGTACCTTTAATTTCTGCGTGACGTTAATTCACGGGTGACGATTTATTATGTGAATAACGATTATATGGACGAACACGAATATCATAATTATTTATCTATTCGCACATACGTTAACATTGCGACTATATTACAGATATTGATTGGCGATGTAAAAGATATTTTCATTTTCATCGAATGACGAATCGTCTCACCGCTGCTCCTCCGATATCCTTCCCCTTGGACCTTTCCTGGAGTGGAATGAAGTGGAATGGCTTATGACTGGCTCTCTAGCTATACTTGTCTCTCTTATCTCGCGATGTTTCGTTACCAAGTATGTTCCCATCGCTCCAGATAGCGCCACACCGTCCACCGATCGGTTGTGCGACTCTTATGCGGCTCGATGGTCGAGAATCCTGTTCCCACCACTTCCATAGTTGGTGATCTTTGCGGCATAATGTCCGTACGGCGTGTGCGCGGCTGGATGGTATGGCTCGGTGCAGCTAGTGTTAGTACGCATCATCGTGGCATGGTGGAGACGATGTTATCCGCGGTGCAGCTTTTGCCGAAGGTCCGGTTGATGCGCGACAACGTTGTGTGAAGCATTCTCGCCGAGGATTTCTTATTTAGTTTGTAAAAGGTGAGGCGATTTCCTGTTGTCTTATCCTTTCCCTCAATCTCGTCCTCTTGGGGACGACTTCTCGCTTCGCCTCGCCTCGTCTCGTCTCGTCTCACCTCACCTCGCGCGTGCACATGCACGTACAATGTACAATGCGTCGTGCTGCCGAGTGTCAATCTGACGATTATGGTGGCAGTAGTGTTGGTGGTAGTAGCGGTAGGTACTAGTAGTGGTAGCGGTGGAGTATCGACTAGGAACGCGCCGGGCTAATATTAGCATTTCGACTAAAGATATCTGCTGTTCATCTCCCGCCACCAGGCCCTAATTTTGGGTCCTCTTTCGTGCGGAACATCTTCCTTTTTTCTCTTTTCTTGAAACGAATAATATAAGAAGATATCTTTGCATCATATACTCCAATGCACGACCTCAAAAATATGTCACAATGATAGATGTCGTGTACTTCGATCGATCAGAAAAGAGACTCGATTGACGTTTGTTGTTATTTATTTGTTTTATCACTTGCTCTCTTACTTTTTTTAATGATCGCTCTTTTAATGGCACTCTCTTCTATTAATTAACTTTAGACAGATTACATAAATTTACCTCTCCATGATTTTTTTTACATATGTAATTATTTTTTATTATCGGTATAATCATTTGATAATATTTCTCTGTTAATTGATGTTTTTCAAATTGTTTTTTTTTCCAAGGGTCAATGTTCTGTCTTAATAACGCAATATAAATATGATAAGAATTATGTATGCCTCCTCGTGCAATTTCTTCTTACGTATATTCTGTGCGTTTTATCTAAATTTAGAAACATCATCGCTCATATTAAAGTGTCAAGTGCCGCGTTTAAGTACACATTAAGAACTAGAGAGAGGGTTGCTTATCTTAGAGGGATGAGAGAGACACACCCTGAGATAGTGATGAAGTCTCTGTCAGCGCGGTCAAGTGAGAATGAGTCATTCCGACGGTTGCGTTGCAATCTCGATGATGTCAAGAGCACGCCAAACAAGAATCTCCGAATAAGGATCGGAAAAAACTCACGTCTCGTAATAAATTAAATTTTCATCTTTATACTTGATATTTTTTATTTCTTTTTCAGAAAATTAGATTCGTGTTGTTTTTATGTTCTGTCTAATGATGCAATCCTCGTTTTCTATTTTCTAAAAAATAAATAATGTTAGTAAATATTTTTTTTTCTTCAAGGATAATGATTAGTTGTGCTATGTTTTATAATGAGTCATGCCTGAACAAGAAAGAAAGATCATAAAAAATATTGAAATTCAGTTAAGAAATAGAATAAAAACAGATCGAATACTGTGCATTGTATCGAAAGCATAGAAAAAAATTCGGAATAACAAAGATTATTATTTGTATTAATTTCAAAATTATTCGTGCACGGTATAATATATTTGTTTGGCAGAGGATAAAATCATGTCAAGGGTAAAAACATAGAAGGGGAAGTGAAATCGTCTTATCATAGGGTTCTTTGAACCCGCGTATAAATATGAGATCACGTTGTACGTTAATAACAGTTAAAAGTGGAGATTCTTCGAAAAGTCATGGGGAATCTTCTTTTAAAGGTAATTTTGTCATGCGTTTAATAAAGCATTTAATTAATTTTCTTTAACGTCATGTCTCATCATTTTATAATGCGTGCAGAAACTGACAATGAGTTGGTTAGTTATCGCGTGAAATACAATCGCGTGATTGAAAGTATTATTTCTCAATCAGAGAGAGTTAGAACGTTCGTTATTTTTCTCATTGTAAAATACAAAAAAAATAAATAATATCCTTCTTATCTATTTTCACAATATAGGTAGTATATATATATATAGTATTAAATTTAATTATGAATATATACAGCTAATGCGGAATAGTAATTGAGCGAATGTTCTCTCTAACGAATCTATGCATCGATTACATTTCTTCACTTTACTATTACGATTTTTTTGGAAAGACATTCTTGTAGTCTTCTAATTTTTTTTTTTTTATGGTAACTCCATGTTCTTCTATGTTGAACTGCCACACATCTTAAATCGATATCGTTATATCGATGCACACTTTGCTACAAGTCCACGATTTTTAGCATCTCTTTGCTCGGTATAGAGCAACTGTAGTGTTATTGAGACAGATATTTCCGTAGTTGTCGTCTTGCAAAAGCGAGCGGAACTGGCACTACTAAAGCCTTTCTCTCTCAATGTCTTATAATTAGCCTGAGCGAGGCGTGAAGCGATTACGCAATTTCTTTTCGAAAATCAGATCTCGGACTGTCAGCTGAGTTAGCGAAGTAGTCAGTAAGCGTTGATATTTCGCAGATTACAGATTGGTTGCGACTGGTATAATATGGAGTATATCCATAAACTTTTGCATCGTGCCACAAGCCCAAGAACGTCTCGTTCGCCCACGCTGATGGTATATTGCGTCGTATACGCTTTCGAAGGCGTTTTCTGTCAAACTTTTCTTGGCAACTTTTCTTAACGTGATTGTTCTGTAAATCTTTGTGACAAGTAAAAATCGCGAAGAAAGTTTTTTCATTAAAAGATATCCGACGGACATGAAACATTTCTGTTATATATTAAAGAATTCTCATAAACCGCCCATTATATGTTCGCTTTATTTAAATTTGAAAGAAAAGAAAGAGATACGGTATTCTCGTAAAATATCTTAACGCATTTTTTTTTATTTTCAGAGCGGCAACGATACTCCCTTGACTCTCCCAAAGACAGCAGAGCATGAGGTCAAGGTTCATTTTGCTCGCGAGTTTGCCGATGTAGGATCGGTCACGGAAAATCTCTGCTTGGCTCCGGAGAGTCTTTCGTCGGCCAGCAGTTTCCATAGTCTCAGCAGCACTCTCAGTATCAAGAGCAGTAGCGGCATATGTACTGATTCGACACCCGAAACTCCTGATAACGTAGTGGACACATCATATGTGAACTCCAACATACCCGGTGTAGAGGATTTGATCCTCGCGTGTGCAGACATCCATTTAGGAAGTGAATACGACAGTCAGGATCTCAGTCAGGATCAGACGTTTACATCGGCTATAGATGAGGTACCATTTTCCACAAGAGATTGTTCCCTTAACGAAGATCTATTAGACAATGCCGATAATGGAACGCAAGTGATTGAGATAAGTCCTCAATTATGCAAGACAACGCCTTTAAATCAAACGCATATTTTGGGATCGTCTAATAACACACTTCCCGTTCAAGATTCACAGTTTGTGACTTCATATCCTCCTGCGGAAGAATATGTACTACAAGTAGAAGAATCGATTGATAAGCATATTCCGTTACAAGAAAGTGCTACAGTAACTGAGATTGAAACCTTCAACATTGTGAGTAATCTTATAAAGGATTCACTGCCAACAAGTAATGTGAATGATAATCAGTTGAATATAACAACAACTGTTTCATCCAATAATATTACTTTCGATGTGATCACGCTTAATGAAGAACAAACAGTAAAAAATGATTGCAACGCCGAAATATCCCTAGAAGATCCACAGTCGTGTCCTACCGAAATTTCTGTTCCGTCCACATCCCCGTTAACGCAATATGCGGATCTTTCGTTACCTAGTATATCCAATATATCTTCACCATTAGAACATACTGATAGTAGTACAACGAAAGAAACGAGTATACAGACTTTATCAGAGTTTAAACAGGATACATTAACAGTATTGTCACCTTCCGACAATCTTGATCAAAAATTGTGTGTATCATCGCAAGTAATTGTAAATAATTCTATTACTCAAACTGAAACGAATGAAATTATCAAGGAGCAAGAGTTGTCTGAATTAGATAATGATATTGAAGCAGATAAGGAAGAAAACATACTATTACCAAATAACACCAGTATTATAGAACCAAAAACATTGGAAGTTGAAGAAAACTTACAGACGAGTATCGATAAAAAAGATTTAGAGGTAGAAAATAGCGTAGTATTGAATGAAGTACAGAAATTATCTGAAGAAGGAATTGCCATATGTAATGAGACTCATGTTATAGAAAAACAAAATAATTCATCAGAAACTGTAATTATAGAAAAGGAAAAATGTATTGTGGAAAATGCACCTACGACGAGTGATATTAAAAAAGACATATCTAGTGAAATTCTCGATCGTACACTTACTTTACAAGAAATAGATATAAACTTTGCATCAGATGAAGAACAATACGAGAAATTTAAACCTCAAAGACAAAGTACTACATTGTCGTTGATCAATGGACATTTTGAAGAATTAAAATCTACAGTGGAAAAAGTTACTAATGAGCTACTTAATCCTTCACTTGAATTTACGGAAGAGACAGATCAATTTGTCAGTGCAACACCTGAATGTAAGTTATTGAAAGCTCTTTTTCGTAATTTTATTATTGAGATTTTTTAATTACATATGTGAATACTATTGCTTTTTCAGTTTTCCAAGATCCCTCGACATTTGATTTTTTGTTAGCACGAAGTAATCCTACAAATCATACAAATCGCTTTAGAACCGAATCTTTGTATGTTAAGTTTGATCCATTGGTATCGAATATCAGCATGTTGCCTCAAGGAAATGCCCAAACAATAAACGAAGAGAAAAATGGCAAAAATGAATCGCCACTTCCTGATGTTGGTACACCAAAACGTAATCCTGCCATAGCAGCTATAGACAGGCTGCTTTTTTATAGTCCTCTCCCTAATGCAACAGTGCAAAAATCAGAGGAAGTTCAAGAAAAAAATGTAAGTGAAAAACTACTATCTATATCTTTAATTACCATGTAAAGTACCTTCATATTAAGTTTTGATAATGAGACAAGCATTTCAAATTTGTTCAGGAGCAGCCAATAGAAGAGCCTAAATCAGACGCACCACTTATTGATCATATAGATATGAGTAAAGAACTTGAACTTGTAAGAACGACGGTATTACAATTGGAAGAAGAATTGGAGAAACAGAAAAAGGAGCATGAAGCAGAATTGGAAAGACAGAAAGCAACTTTTCAGGAAAAAATTAATAAACTACAGGCACAAATGTCACAAGAAATAAAAACCAAAACCCAAATGACGTAAGTAATTTATTCAAAATAAATCCATTTAGATTAAATAAATAAATTTACTCAAAATAAATTAATTTAAATTTAATTTAATTTAATTTAATATAAAAACAATTGGTTTAGGGTTGTTGTGGAAGAATATGAAAAATCGATTAGCAGATTACTTACGGAACGAGAAAGAGATCGTACAAGCTTTGAACAAGACAAGATAAAATTGCAAGAAGAATTGCAAGCAGCAAACCATCATCTAACTAATACGGAAGCAGCATTTAACGATGTACACCAAAAATACGAAAGACTTAAAGGAGTTGTATCAGTGTATAAAAATAATGAAACTGTACTAAAAGAAAGTATCCAGGAGAATGTAGAAACCATAAAAACATTGGAAACGCGATACGATCAACTCAAGGAACATGCAATGGCTCAACTAGAAAAGTACATTGATATAGACGCGCGCGCGCGCGCGCGCGTGTGTGTGTGTGTGTGTGTGTGTGTGTGTGTGTGTCACAATATTTCTCGAAATAATATCGTGATATATCTTAATATCGTATTATATTTTAGGGCTAATCTGGAGTTGGATGGAATACGAAAACAGAATGAGGCGGAAACAGTTAAATTGCATGCAATGATAAGAAAAGCAGAACTTAAAAGCAATTCACTCGCCGAACTTGTGGAGCAGAAATCTAAGGAAAATAAAGAACTCGCGAAAATCTTAGACGAAGTTATCGCCAGGGTCGGTCACGGAAACTCAGAATGAAAACGAGGTATCGCGGTTGTGGCGCGATTAGTCTTTATTTTTTTACTTGTCCTTCATTGTCTTAAATACAAATATATGTTAGATACGATTGATGTATGTATACGTGCATTAACTCGTAAGTTATTGCAAATTGCGTTTTACTTCAGAAAAACGCCTTTTATTAATTATTTATAAGTTGTGAAATATAACTATTTTAAAGCTAATAAAACTGTGCTTATATTAAAAACACATTTTTATTTATGCGATAAAAAATGTTCAATACCCTGTATGTGAGTGTAACAATATACACATCCTCATTTTCAAATTTTACCTTATTACCGTAACACATTTTATCTTATATTATTAAGTTATATAAAAAATCATAGTGTAAACACACGTCGGCTAAAGGTATAAGCACCCATATATTTGGTCATTTTAATAATGTCCTGTGTTTGCGAAAGATTAAATCTTTCATACAACTTCCTGAATTTTACTAATTGTACTAATGAGTACTGTCAATTTATTGGTCTAGTATCGATAAGAAACAGTACGTGATGTTTGGCTAGTTTCAACATACGATCGCTTGTACTTCCAGGTTTTCGTGGAATATTTCTATTTTCCAAATCAGGCATAAATTTTTTAATTGTGCGTGCCAAATTTGCAGCATATTGTTTAAATTTCGGATGACTCATACCAATGCCTTTGCTTCGTAGGGCCTCCGCAACTGCCCAAAGTAATTTCTAGAAATAAACAAGAAAATTATGTCTATCAAATATATATATATATAGAGAGAGAGAGAGAGAGAGAGAGAGAGAACGTAATAAAACAACAAACAAAATTAACAATACAAACCTTTCTATGAGTATCGCTTAATTCATTCTTTCCTTGATTGACAGACGTTTCATTTTTCGAAAGAATACTGCTCGACGAATGTCTATCCCACGTAACCTTTGACGTACTTCTTATTTCGTGCATGCAATCAAACGATAAGCTTTTCGCCCATTTCAATCGTGGCCCTTGCAATTCTTCCTCACATTTTCTTTTTCTACTTTCTTCTCTTGAAGAGGTTTGATTCGCATATTCAGATTCGTTCTTTTTTGGTGTTGAAAATAAAACGCGTTTAATTTTTTGAGTATCTGTATTATTTGTACCTAATAATTTGCTAGGACCAGCATGATCTGATGGGGGACTTTGAAACAATGCACGTTTCGAAGTTTCTAATTTGGATTTACATGGACTTGACTCATCTAGCATTAATCTCCGAACTACTTTCTTCTTTGCTGAACTTCTTGGACTTTTACCTCGAGGACTCTTACCTCTTGGACTTTTACCACGTAGACTTTTACTTCTAGGACTTTTTCCTTTTTTATGTGTAAGTTTCCTGTATTAAAAAAAAGTGTGTGTGTGTGTGTGTATGTGTGTGTGTGTGTGTGTATATATATATATATATATA